ATTTGGTTATATATAGATCAGTTGTATTGAGTTCAGTTGGTGGTTATTCAAATAGTTTTCAAAATTTTCGACATATAACAAAGCCCGTACGTCTTGATTGTATCTAAACCAATTGTTTCCTTGTGTTCTTTAGAAAAAGGTAATATAAATTTTTTTCATTTTTTTAATTTGAGAATGTAAATTTGTTTAAAATTTAAATAAAATAATAAAATTTTTTTATTTAAAAATTTATTAGATTGATAAAAAAATTTATTTATCACATCAACATCACTATTTAATAAATTTATTATTTTATTTAAAAACCTATAAATCAAATCTTGATGATTTATATAGGCAGCAAAAATATGGGCTAATGCCAAATATCTAACACAAATCCATGGCATCATCAAAAGCCCTCGTGTTTCTTTTCTTTCACTCTTCTCCTCCTTTCCCTTCCGTCTCAAGTTCATTCGAATTACAAATTTCCATTACCATCTGGGCTTCTCATCAGAAATCTTCAGGGCTCCAAAAAGGGTGATAAAGGTAATGGCATTCTTGTGCTCAGAAACTATCTACGGCGCTTTGGTTACTTGAGCTCTGTCACCATGGAGCAAACATCTGTTGAGAATGACAATTTTTATGATGAATTGGAGTCTGCCCTCAAGACTTATTAACCGTTTAACAATCTTAAGCCAACTGGGATTTTAGACAAAGAAACAGTATTGCATGACGAAGCCTCGATGTGGAGTACCGGATATTAACAACGGTACGGCCCCCTTCCATTTTCACTATGTAATTTTCCCAGAGAATCCCAAGTGGACCAAGACCCATCCCACATATGCATTCCCTCCAGGCACTCGAAGGGATGGCATAATCGCCGTGAACAGCTCTTTTCAGAAATGGGCTGAAAAAACGCGCTTCACATTCACCCTAACAGAGGACTACTCGAAAGCCGATCTTAAAATCAGTTTTCAAAGGCTGGACCATGGAGATTCCGGGTCCCGGCGGGGTGTTAGCTCATGCCACTCCACCGACGGAAGGAATATATTCCACTACGACGGAGATGAAAACTGGTCTCTAGCGGCAGCTCCAGAGACAATTCACTTGGAGACCGTTGGTTTGCACGAGATCGGGCATGTGCTGGGATTGGGGCATAGTCCGGTCAAGGAGGCCATCATGTTCGCATACGGTGGTTCTAATGAGCTCAAAGACTTGCACCAGGATGACGTTGACGGTATAAAGGCTTTGTATAATTGGTAACGAATCATGGTTTAAATAAAAAAAAAACGAAGGGACCGAACTCATTTGACGTAATAACTAGTTTTTAAATTTTAGTACTTAAATTTAATTGATTAAGAAATTAATTTCAATCAATAATTTGAAAAAAAATTCTCATGTTAAAAAAAACATTATAATAAAATAAAATAAAATAAAACAAATATGAAATGCACTTGCATAATTGTATTGTATTTTTTCTTACATGGAAGTTTCTATACGGTGGTATAATTGCAAACTGATCACAATTTAGGAAAGAACATTAATTTCTTTCTTTCTCGTATTTCTCGCGCGTTGCTTTAGAAGAAAAGATTGCAATTTTCTTCCACATCTCTCTTTTTTTACCATTTACCCTTCTTCTCTTTATGCTACAGCTTTTTCTTATTGAGTCCAGACCTCTAAAACCTCTAATCACCAAGGAAATAGTTTTCCAATCTATTCCAGAATCTAGAGGGATCGTGATAAATTTTAAACAAAGATATGAAAATGAAGGTGTAAAGTTAAGGATGAAGAGATTAAACGTGATTTAGCCGAATATTATAAAGGTGGTGATTTACATTCAGACACAATAACCCTCACAATTATAAATGATATGGCTTGATATATATATAATGATTATGTATAACACCCTTCTATGGTAAGTGTAAAAAACAAAATATGAAAAATAATAATAAGGAAACAATCAAAGATTTAGGGATTCTAATCATATAAATTGAGATTTGATTAAAATCTTGATTTTGTCTTGATTCTGTCAAATCTTTGCTTACTTGTTTCCATATAATTTCTAACACAAGAAATGGTATGGCTCCCACAAGGAAACAATATTTAAAACACTTTTCTCTCTATTCTATAATAACCATCATTTTTTTTAAAAAATTAAAGATTTGGAGAGTTTATATATTTACTTTTTTGTAATATGATAATTAATTAAAATAAATAAATAATAATAAGATTAAATAAAAAATATTTATTTACTTAAAAAATAATAATTAATTTAAAACAAACTCAAAATCACAAAGTGATAATTATTTTAGAACGAAGGAGTCCAATTCCGTTCAACGGATGTCAATCTTGCCAAGAACCCTTGGAAAGAAAGGTATGGTCATATTTCAGAGACCACAAAGTGGCCAAGTAGAGCAAGCTGAGACTGACTTCGGCTGATGGCCCAGAACACAGCCCAACCGGCAACCAGAGTTCATCACAACTTTTTCCAAATGTTCACTTCTTTAATGCTCATCTCAACTTCTATCAATCATTTGCACGCAGTAGCAAATAAGATTAGATTACCGAGGCAGGGAAGGATAAACCTCCAGCCCATCCACCCTCCACTTCAGAAAAGGAGATGAAGATGATGAGATTTAATTAAAAACAAAGAGGAAAAGGTAAATTTGAGTTTGTAAGGAGGATATTTGCTTCCTACAGAGGGAATTTTACAACTTAATAACTGAACTGGAAACTTGAATTCTTCAAGTGAATGATTGGTGCTGCCTATAGCTTGGGCCACTGTTGCGAAGAGTTCTTTGAAGGCTCTTACACGCCACCCTCTGTTCTTGAGAATGTAAAGCTTAGGGTAAGCTGCCTCGTGCAGTTTGTGAGGGGATAAAGATGTGGGAAGATTGTGATCGGTAACTTTTACAGAAGATGCTCCTCTTGGTTATGGCAGAATCTTGAGCATGGCCAACAAGGTTTGGGAGGGAAGAAGCCCTGTTTCAGTCACCAGCTTAGATGATAACTCTTTCTTGCTCAAAATCCCTGATCCAGCCACTCGGTCTTGGGTTCTAAATTCTGGACCAAGGCATGTTGTCCACAAGACAATCGTCATGCGTAAATAGGAGCCTGATTACATGCTAAGAAGCTTTGCAGCCATAAACTTGACATCCAGATTGATACGGCTAAACACACAAATCATCAACTTCAACAAGGAAGATGACAACGTAGAAAAAGATGAAATGGTTAAAAAGGGCACAGAAAGCTACATACAGAAACCACTGCTTCTGGAAAAACCATGAAGAGAGTACACAGAATAACAGCTTGAATCATGCAAACATAAACTCCAACACCATAAAGACTAGTCACTGCATACTGCAATCAGATTTCAATGATGTAGCTCTCCAAGAGAAATGAAGGACATGACCATTCATGACTACGTGCTAGGTTACAGACTACAATTTTGAAAGGAATACCCGGCTACTGCTGTTTTTGCCGCATCCAGAACAGTGAATTTTGGGTAACACATGAAAACAGGTTATCCACTACTCAAAGTCTAAACAAGATCACAAGTTACCTTGTTTCCAGCGACATTAATGACAAAGGGAATGCCCTGCAAATATTGGACATCAAAGCTGTTAAGTGTTCGTAGAATCCCTTTTGACACAAACGACTCAACAGGTCATGCCCAACCGCCACCCATACCCATGGGTGGAGATTTGTCCTCGTATCTGACGACAGGGTGGTTGGTAGACAGCTGCCAGAATAATAGGGGCCAAAGCTCTGAATACCTGTGCTGGAAAAAAACTGTTCTTATAACCATTTTTTTCTAAATGTGAGACTACATACCTAGGCCTATTATGTATGACGACATCTATTTTCAAACAGACACATTCGAGAGCCATATGATAAAAGAAAATGGCATTTCCAACCATCTGATAGAATCCTTCAGAGGTTCCCCAAAAAAAAAAAATAATAATCTGATAGAATCCTTCAAGCCAGAGAGACAGAAGAAAGTTGCCAATGCCAATGCAGAAACAAAAAAGGAGAACAATTACTTTGTACTCTTAACCATATTCAACAAAGAAAGGTAAACAAAAAGACAGGGCTAAACAATGTACCAAGGACAAGGCTGAACAACATTGACAATAATTTTATATAACTCATTGGGTGAGAAGAATACTGACGGAAGAACACATGAACTGGGGTAACACACAAAGACAAGTAAACACACAGTCCACAGAAAATACACAAAAGAAGCACAAATTTAAGAAAGCAGAAAAGTAGAAAGAGAATAAAAACACCCTTTCCACAGGTACGCTTATAAGAACAAAGACTCAAAGACTAATTCTTAAGCCAAGAGCAATTGTAACAACATCCATGTATTTGGATAGAAATATAGTCCAAATTCTATATGCTACAGACTACAAAGATCTTAGTCTAGTGGTATGAGGACATTCTTTTAAGTGTGTACATCATGCATTAAAAAAAAAAAAAAATACCGTAAAGGTGACAGCAAGAGACTATAAAAGGGACAAAAGTCAACCAGCCAAATTTACAGAATCACTGATCTAAAAGCTATTGAAAAAGTAATATCAGTCACATTAATTCTGAGACAGATTTTATGTGTGAGAAAACTACCTTGGCTGATATTTTCACAGCTGTGGCAATGTTGAACATCAACCATAGATGAAGTGAATCTTCTCCTGTTAAAATAGGAAAATAATAAGGGATACATTGTTATAATGTGATTGCCGATTGGCATTCTTCCTATTCAAAAGCGTGAGGAGCTTCCTGCAAAACTTAATTAATATACACATAAGCATAGCAATATGCACAAAACTTAAACTTAAGTTCAAGAAAGTGCCTTGGTTATTCACCATGCATCTATGCCTCCTACTGCACCACCATTCAATCAAAAGAAAACGAAATGCCACAAGAAAAGATAGAGCAATAACAAAATAAAATGCTGCAAAAAAAAAAGCAGAATTCACCATCACAGAACTAGGAAATGAGATCATGAGTACCTCTACATAATTTAAATACTACAACATACAGTTTAAACTACAACCGCTAGAAAGCAGCACAAAACAATTGCAAGGTTCTTACTTCACTAAGTAGCCTTAACCTTATCATTTGCAACAACAGAGAGTATAGGTAAGCTACTTAAAAACTCGTCAAGACCCTCAAAAAACCCATTTCCTTCAATATTATCCTCCTCTCCATATCCAGGCCCATTCCCTTCCCGTCTCCGGGTGGTTGGCTCTTCCACCTCATTACTGAACTCCACATTTAAATCCAACTTCCCCAAATCCTTAGCCCCATTCCTCATTTGCCTCCTCCCATTTCCCAACCCTCTTCTGCTGGACTCTGCCACTGGTGCACCCTCTGGCACCGCAGACCCACTGCCCAAATTAATACCACTATCCAAGTTATTCCCCTTCCTAACCCTCTCACTTTGCGGCTTACTTGCATTCTTTGACACGGTAACTTTCCCTTTGGCATTCTGTGGCTGCTTTCTCCTCCTATCTTCAATCCAGTACTCACCATCCTCAGATTCGTCACTCATATCCGAAATCTCCACATAAACATCATCATCATCATAGTACACTCTTGGAGCTGAACTTTTAGCATTACTTTGTTTGTCCAGATTCTTGTTTTGTTCTTGAGTGGTATTTTCTTTTCCCTCACCCAGTACAGGGCAGGCAAACATCGGCGAAATAGGAGACCAACTAGGAAATGCCCCAGCGCCCCCGCTGGCCCCTCTAGCATTCCCCGAAACCCCTACCGGGAAATATGCCCAACAGCAAAAGTGAGTCTCCTTTTCTGACACAGGCGGCGACGGTATTGTAGCTGCATGAAAAGCCCTCCTACACTTTTGACAGCGCAGAGTGCAATCCTCATAGACCTTTGGGTACTCATAGATAACGTAACAGTACGGACAAGCCGTCCAGAAACTAGGCACCTTTGGTCTTGCAGCCTGATTGGAAGGAGTCGAGTCAGTCTGCCGATTGGCACCAGCTGCCTCCGTTTGATTACCCGAACTCGGGCGGGTCAATTCCGTCTGATTTATCTGGGTTCTCCGTGTTGGCTCAGTATGTGGAGTTGACTCGGGCCTGGGCCTTTCTTCTTCCAATGCGGTTCTTCCATCCTTACCTCTAGAGCTTTTCCTCGCTGGCGTCCCCGTCTCTTTCTGCTGTTGATGTTGATGTTGATGTTGCTGACGCTGTTCTAGTTCCTGTGGCTGACCAAATTGAATCACTCGTTCAGTCCGTCCCACAGGCGTTGTTGCTGTCTCCCTCTGTGGTTGCTGATGTTGATGATGTTGTTGTTGTGCCGGTGGCGGTGGTTGAGGTTGAGGTTGCTGGTGCTGACCTAATTGAAACACTTGGTCGAGTGGACTCCCTAGACCCAGCTGAGTTGCAAAACTGGGTTGACTCACAGACCCGAGTTGCCCTAATCGCAACTCGTTATCATAAATGGCCTTCTTAGATGGATTGGACAAGACGCTCCAAGCATCTGACACCAGCCTAAACGCTTGATCGGCATATAAGAGATTATTCCTAGCAGGATTCAAGAGCAAAGCCAGCTTCCTGTACTGAGTCGCTACAAGTTCCGCAGACTGAGTAAGCGGAGCGAGTTGGAGGATCCGGTACCAGTCTATGGGATCCGACTGGGCGGCGAGAAGGGTGTCGGCAACGGCGAGAATTTGATCGGCAAGAATCGGGTTGAAGTCCCGAACACGGATCGCAAACGTCCTCGTCCCGTGCAGGTCACGCGACGCCAGCAGCCTCTCCGCCACCCCCAGCCACCGCTCCGCCTCCGCCCGGTTGTTATCCATCTTTCCTCTTTTTTTGTAATTTTTTTCTTTTACTTCCAAAAACCTAAACTATTTGTTCGGGGCAATTGAGAGAAGAGAAAGGTGAAGCTCGTGTTTATTTTTTTTCATTTTGACGATTGAGGACATGTTATCTTCTTAAAACGACAGCGTTTTATTGTTGTTTGTCTGGAGGAACATCATTCTTTGTGGGCAAAATGGTCAAATGGCACTGAAGAGTGGACTGTAATCTGTAGAGTGTGAATAGCTATCAGAGCAGGGGTATTTTGTGTCATTTAGTGAATTTATCATGCTCGCTCGGAAATGCCATTTTGACTATGGCGGTGGGAGGGGTTATTTTGGTAAATTCGATGGTAATGAAGACAAAGATGATTTTTTACTT